TAAAAATATATATATATATATATATATATAACGCTAAACTATATGGAAATCATGAGGTTGAGGTCCCAGGGGTTGGTCAATTCTGCTCCATTATGGGGTTTGTGTGTGATTTGGTGTCTGAATGAATTCAACTAAAATGTTATGAGAAGGGTCATTGTGTATGTCTTAGAGTTTTCAGTTTTTTTTTATACTTGCATTGATTTTTTATGCTTGATGTAACATGGTCTTGCTAATTCTTTTTGGGCTTTGGCTTCTTTACTTCCAGATCATCATGGGGAACATCATCATGATCATGTGCATGATGCCGCAGTTACAAGTGTTTAGCATAGTTTCTGAAGGAACCATTGATCTCGATGAGGTAACCTGGAAAAGTATTAACCTTAATTCATCAAATCCGCCTATGAGTTTACGTGCATGCGCATGTGTGATAAAGAAAGGAACGGTTGATCGATCTTCCCTTAGGATATGCTTTGTTGGTCCGAGGATCATAGATTTTATTTTCTTTTACTCAAATTCATCTCTCGTAGCTTCGGCTTTTACACTTCAACCTTTTCAACTGTCTAGGTGAATGATTGGCTTGAAACACTGGTGAACGAGAAAGGGGAGGATTTGTACAGGATGAAAGGTGTGATCTGTAAACGAATCTACTGGATGTTATGTTTTTCAGGTTATCTATATATCCCTTCTCCACTCCCTGAACATCTAACATAACTTCACTCTATGGAACCAAGTTCATCTTTTCATTGAAGGGGGTGCATCCTATGTTGGAAGGCTGCTTCTGCCAAACCCTGGGATCCTCAGGAGAAGAGAATGAACAAGCTTGTGTTTATTGGAAGGAACCTACCTCCATGAAACTGTATTGAGAAAGGCTTTTAAGGGATGTTAGTATGAATTCTCAAGGTGGCAATGTTTGTATATGAGGGTCGAGAATGCAATTTAGCTCATTAAGGGGTTTCTGCAATGCCAAATGGTGGCAGAATACTCAAGGTGGCAATCTTTGGTTCATTTGATATTCTGTAGTTGAATATGTGTGTGTGTACATATAAAGAGTATGGTTGCTAGTAACGACAGATGAAACTATTAATGATATGATACTGAAATAGACAACAATGGGATAGCAGTGGTTAAGCTATCAACAAATAGCCCACACATGAAGTGATTCGAATAGGAATATAATGAAAGCGATAATATATATAACTGAGCATTAGAAATCAACTCGCAGGAATTTCAAGAAAATAATCAATCAAACTCAAAAAATTGATAGGAAACAATAAAAGGCTACCTATCATTTGTGCTGGGTTCCTTGGTATCAACGAATGAATCCAAAGGTCTTACTTCTCTATAATATACATGTATACCCATATAAGATTCTAATCAACTAGGTTTTCGTTAGTTTCCTAGTCTTATAACGACATGCTATACTTGAGAATATAATACTCGACGCTTCTGATACGCACAAACAGGGAATAAAATATACATGTAGCAAATTGAGTTAGACGGATGAGAGAGCAACTAATATCCAAAATTTATGAAACTATTATCGTATAATTTTTGCATGTGCCTAGTTTTCAGAACAATTGGTGGCTTACAAAAGCAATACATATAGCTCAAGTTATATTTAGAAACATAGGATATGCACAAACTATAATGGCAGACCATTTTAGCATATTCAAGTGCATTATTGAGGGGCCATATGATATCCAAAATTAGCGAAATAAAATTTAAATTGTTTCTATACAAATCTAGTTTTGGAAAAAAAAAGAAGAATTTCCTACATGCAAGTTTTTAAAGGGAAAGTTATACTCTCTGTAATGCATAAGGGTCAGGATTTCAGACTTGTGTCAAAATAGAAAACACTACAATTCAATTCTATATTTTCCTTTTAGATGTCAACCATTATCAGTTTATACTCAAATTTTTCTATAGGTTAATTAATAAATATAGTTTCAAGTTATAAAACTTTCTTTATTCAATCACAAACAGATATTTAGATACATGCAAAATATCCAGGAATGACAGACTACATATCCTATGCACATTTATTGAATTAATCACAAGTTTGAACTAGTAAATGATCTAGGAATTGGATAAAATTAGATTCAAATCAAAGATATGAGAGTCTAGTTTCGTTCAATTAGATTGCAATTATACCTAACACTCATGGAGATCTTACTAAGATAGTGCATGGGCATCACAGAGCACTATCACACGGATTCCGATGCACATAAGATAGCTTTGATAATGAATTAGAGAGAGCAAATGACATTGAGAAATGAGCCAAACTAATTTCAAAAGAAAGTTACATGAGTACAATTTCAGGAATAGTAAGAATGTCATATCTGCAAGATATATATTGAGAGTAGTGCTCTCAACAATAAACATGTCTCCGGCAATCTATTTAAGACACATACATCCAATTCTACTAAGCATTCAAGATAGCAAACAATATTCAAATTAGACCAAGCCAAGTTCAACGGAAAGGTACGTGAGGAAAAATTCAAAATAGAAAAGTTTACTTAGAAAGGACATTCAAGAGAAAGTTATGACCGATTTACTAATAAGGTGCCCTGCAGGAAAGACCTATGTACCACCGATCCATCACATTTTCAATCGAAGCGTCGCCCAAACTTTACTTTTTAAATTGAAGTGATAAAAAGATGTGAATTTTTAGACCAATACGATATTTTAGCCGATAAAAAACAGAACGTGGCCTTAATTATTTATCCATTACCTCAGTCGGTGCAGAAGCTACAAATGCTCTTCATAGGCGGCCGTAGCTATTTTACAGAACCGGGTCGGGTCGGAAGTAAGGATCAATCCCTCTTATCAAACAACGGCCTTAATTAAAAAGGCCACGCAAAACCCGCGGTCATTCCCCGTACCGTACGCTTCGATCGCCGCCCCCAACAAAACCCTAATAACCC